TCTTCACCCGGAATAGCGTCTTCACCCGGAATAGCGTCTTCACGGGGAAAAGCGTCTTCACGGGGAATAGCGTCTTCACAGGGAATAGCGTCTTCACCCCCTCACAGGGAATCTTCACCCGGAGTAGCGTCTTCACAGATCTCGAGAATGGCGTCTTCACCCGGAATAGCGTTTTCACAAGGAATAGTGTCTTTATAGGGGAAGTGCTGTCTGAATCCGCAGAACGCGTCTTCACAGGGAATAGCGGCTTCACCGGGAATAGCGTCTTCACCGGGAATAGCGTCTTCACCCTATAGCGTCTTCACCGGGAATAGCGTCGTCACTGGGAATCGCGTCTTCACCGTCTTCACCGGGAATAGCGTCTTCACAAGGAATAGCGTCTTCACAGGGACGCGCCGTCACAAGGAATAGCGTCTTCAAATAGCGTCTTCGGCGCCAGCTCGAACTGGGAACCCCGGTTGCCTGGTCAATGTATATATATATAGATATCTGTATATATATATACATTGCACAGTATACATTGCACCACACCGATGTGTATGTGTAGATGTGGCATCACATAGGTTGTACAACAAAGACCGCACAATCTGGTGCAGATAAAAAAAAACACCTATAGTGCACCGCATAGTGTGTTTCACCTCTATCTCACACCATATATTGCCTCATATATGATATTTTTCATAGATACGGAAAACATAGCCTGTGCCACATAGGTTGCACTCAATCGTTACACCACATAGATTGCACCACGCAGATTGCACCACCTACATTGCTCCACATCGATTACACAGCATTTATAGCACCACATGGAGTGCACTATAGTGTTCCGCACCATGTATTGTACCACATGTATTGCGCCACACAGACTGTGCCACACAAGATGCCCAATGATGGAGCTCTGCATGCAGTGCACAGCACAGGCTGCTAGAACCACACTGCCTGGAGACCACGCTGGCGGGCATCTGTTCATACCGTCATTTCCCCCCTTCGGTGACGCGGGAACGTGACCACTCCACCGCGAGCGCCGCCACCCCGAAGGCCCCATGGGCCAACGCGGTCGGGGTCGGCGGGCCCGCACCCCTCGGCGGAGGCACCCCCCCCCGGGGGGGCGAGGAGGGAGGACGACGAGGAGGAGGGGAGGCCGGAGGGCGAGGAGGATCGGGGCAGGGCGGGCCAGGAGGGGGAAGCGAAGGGGAGCAGGGCGAGGAGGTGGGAGGAGGGAGGGAGATGATGCAGGAGGCAGGAGGGGTGGAGGAGGCGGGGGAGGAGAGGGAGGAGGGGGGAAACATCAGCATCAGCATCAGCATCAACATCATCATCAGCATCATCATCATCATCATCACCATCATCATCATCATCATCATCATAATCATCATCATCATCATCATCATCATCATCATCATCATCCTCATCCTCATCCTCATCATCATCATCACAACCGTCATCATCATCAGCATCCTCAGCATCAGCATCATCACAACATCTACATTTCCAATCACATCAGCATCATCATCATCATCGCCAATCTTACCATTAAAATTGGCACCATCATTATCTTCAACATTGCCATCGTCGCCATCAACAAGAACAACAACATCAACATCATCATCATCACCATCATCATCACCATCATCATCATCATCAACATCATCATCATCATCATCAACAACGTGCCGCATGCGACAGGAGATCCGTGCGACGAAGACCGACCACGCGTCAATGTTTCACGGCGCTCGCAGAGGACCAGCTGCGCACCGCTGCTCCGCCGCGCGGCAAACCACCCTTTCCGGAGGCGCCTGCGATCTCCGCCAGGACGGCCCTTACCTTCAGGTCCAGGCTCTGACTCACGGCGCCCTTCGGCACAGCGAGCTGCGAAGAAAGCCGTCGGCCCAACGTTGCCCGCGTTGGTGGCGGATGCGGCGGATGCGGCGAATGCAGCGATGCGGGGGTCACCCGCACCTGGGCCCATGGAGGGTGGTCGGGCTCGCTGGAAAACACTTGCGAAACAGGCGCGATCAGAAGCGCGACGACGCGGCATGCTGACCGACCTCTCCAGGCCGGGCCCTTGACGAGAAATTGATCGAACGTGGGCGCCTGGACACATCAAAGGTACGTGCAACGTGAAACAGATCGGATGAAACCTCAACTAAGAATGATCGTCCGTAGGAAAAGACGGTCTTAAGAAAAATGTCCGTGGTTGTTCGACAAGGGCAGGGGAAAAGCGATGAGGTACCTTTCGAGTCCTCAGATGGGGAAGAGAAAGGAGGAGGAGGAACAAAGAGCTGAGAGGAGGCACGGCCATCAGCTGGGTAATCCGGCGCCAGCAGGAGTCTAACGTAGGAGTTTTCGTCGACCAGCGTGCATCTGTGCGATTCATCGTCTTCTGTGCTCGCGTGGGGGGTGGAGGGATGGAAACTAGTGACCATGACCAAGACAAAACGCAATACCTCGGTGTCGATGTTGGTCACCATCGTCTTGGTCGCCGTCAGTTCGTGGATTCTCTTCGCGCACCGGCCACTGCAGGCATGGACCCTTCGAGCAGGTTCGCAGGTTCGCACGGAGCAGCCTCGACTGCCCCTCAGCACGACTCGGAGTCTGGGCCGCTGCACCGAGTCTCGGACAAGCTCGTCCTGCTCTGAGGGCGTCTCCCCGCAGTTCCCTCCTCCGCGGCCGCCTCCCCCCCCTCGCCCGCGATGTTGGTGGCAATCAGCCTTTTGAAAGTGCTCGACTTATCCGCACCTCGCCACTTGGAGCAAGAAGAAGCGGCACGAACAGAAACTTTCGGAGCTCCGCGCGGATTTCGTGACTCGGCGCTGGACCCCCTAGCGGCGTCTCCGGCGCCTCCCTTGGCGCGCTCCGCGAGCTGGGCAGGGGGGGCTCAAAGTTTATGCTTATGTACACGTGGTTCATTTCTAACCGTGGTCATGTCTAAGTGTTCTCGTTTCTAATTGTTCCTGGCCCCCTGGTGGCCAGGAAGAGGCCCAGGATAGAACGACTACAAATAAAAGGATCGTGGCCCCCCCAAAAATCAAATAACTTTCGAAGAGTTAGAGATGAGCACTGTGCAGCTGTTCCTTCTTCGCGACTGCCGAACTCTGCAGGGCGAAGTCTCAGGGGGCCTTGGCACCGGCTATCGGCTCGAAAGCTCGAAGGAGACTCGGGGCGCGCCGATCCCAGCTGCGGTGGAGAGCACATGGGGGAGCACGCGCTCGGCAGGAAAGAGAAGGCGCAGCAGCGACAGCACTTGGAGGGGTCGGAAATGGACACCGACATAAAAAAACAAGGAGTTGCGTTCACTGGGGGAGGATGATCCTAGATGTTGGTGTTGGTGTTGGTGGCAATCTTCCGACCGCCTGGGAAGCCCAAATATTACCACCAGCACCGAGATTGGGATCAAACTTCCCTCGAAGGAGGGAAATCAGCGCCTGTCGGGAAATCAGCTCCTGAAGTACGCATTGTCCTGAGTAGACCCCCTTAAGTGGCCTGGGCGCATGCCCGCACAGGCGTTCCGTTTCTGTTTCCGCTTCCCTCGAAGGAGGCACACTGCCGATCTTGGTGTTGGTGCCAACCTCCGGGCCTCCGAAGCATGGCACCACCGAGCGGCCCTTGCACCGGTGCGGCCAGAAGCCCAGGAGCGACCGGTGCTTCGCGTGACCACGGAGGCAGAACGAGCAGGCCGCTCACCGCAGCAAAAAAGCGACATCCCGATGAGAAACAGAAACTCGACGGTCGCGTGGACCTGGAGCTCTGCTGAGCTTGAGCCAGGAACGCTGCGGATGAGCAGCAACAGTAGGACGAACAGGAGGGATGGGAGAGAGGGGGAGATGGGGTGAGTGCGGAAGGGATGAGCAGAGGAGAAGGCAGGGAAGAAAGGCGAGGAGGGAGCCAGGGGAGGGAAGAAAACGACGACGACAAGGATGAGAACGACGTCGAGAGGCTGGGGAGGAGGGGAGGGGGGAGGTAGGGCGTAGAGGTAGAGGAAAGGGGAGGGGAGAGAGGGGGAGCAGGCGGTGGGACGGAGTCAAAAGGGAGCAAAGTAGGACGAAGGAGGGAGTGGGAAGGGAGAGAGGGAGGGAGAGAGGCAAGGATAAGTGGGAGGAACGGAGGAGTAAGGAGAGAGACAGAAGAATAAGGACGACGACGGAAAAGGTGAGATGAGAATTCCCGATGGAGGGGGTCTGCCCGGCCTGGGCCGGCTGGGACGCGGGAGGACGTTGGAGAAGCACAAGGAGACAGGCGGGGGGAGGGGAAGTAGGAAGGGGGATGAGGAAGGAGGTGGAGGAGGGGAGAAGAGAGAAGAAACAATCATTCAAACTTTCCGGCTGCTCTTCAGCCGGGGCGCCCACCCACCCCAGTGAAAGTCGTCGTGTCACTGGCGGATTGCTCCGCCTCCATGTGACATCAAGCGGGCTGAGGACGAGGACGAAAACGACGAGCAGTTAGCAAGAGGAAGAGGCAGAGGAGATGAGGAGGACGACGACGGCGAGAAGGAGAAGGAGGAGAGAAGGAGGACTGAAATCCGCTCAAAATCAATCCCGGCAAAATGTTCGAGCTGCGTCCCACCGTGGCGACGAGAACAAACGGGAACGACCCAAAGCCCCCGGAACGGAGACGTCGACATCGACGTCGTGGTCGCCGCCGTCGCCAGCAGTTCAGCTTGCCCGGAGAGCCGTGATTCTGATCCAGCTGCCGCGTTCCCTCCTGCAGCTCCTGCGACAGCTGGCGCTGCGGGGCGGGCACGCAGCCACCCTGCGAGAGCTGACTCTCCAGCGCCGCCGGAGCCTCCCTGCGGTTGTGCTGCTCCTGCACCTGCTGCTGGGGCTGCACCTGCTGCTGCTGCTGCTGCTGCGGCTGCTGCGCCTGCTGCTGCTGCTGCTGCTGCTGCGCCTGCTGCTGCTGCAGCTGCTGCTGCTGCAGCTGCTGCTGCATCTGCTGCTGCTGCTGCTGCGCCTGCTGCTGCTGCAGCTGCTGCTGCTGCAGCTGCTGCTGCTGCAGCTGTTGCTGCTGCAGCTGCTGCATCCGCAGAGCCTCAAGATGCTGCTGTTGTTGCTGTTGCGGCTGCACGGGCGACACGAGCACGTGCCCCACCTGTTGGTGCTGCGGCTGGGGCTGCGGCACCGGCTGCCCTGGCGGCGCGGCGACGGTCGTAACCGGGACCAGGAAGACCTGAACGTGCTGGGCCTGCTGTTGCGGCTGCGGCTGCTGGTGCATCTGCTGCAGCACCTGCGGGTGCTGCACCTGCTGCGGCACCTGCTGTTGCTGCATCTGCGGATGCTGCATCTGTTGCTGCATCTGCGGATTCTGCATCTGTTGCTGCATCTGCGGATTCTGCATCTTCGGATGCTGCATCTGCGGCATCTGTTGCTGCATCTGTTGCTGCATCTGCGGCTGCTGCATCTGCTGCTGCTGCTGCTGGTGCTGCTGCTGCTGCTGCTGCTGCTGCTGCATCTGCTGCTGCTGCTGCTGCATCTGCTGGTGCTGCTGCTGCTTCTGGAGCTGCTGCTGCTGCACCTGCTGCTGCTGCAACTGCTGCTGCTGCAACAGCTGCTGCTGCTGCTGCATCTGCTGGGGCCACACCGGTTGCTGCAGCAAATGCTCTTGGGTCGCGTCTTCAGAGTCCCTGATGACCAGGCCGAGGCCGGCAGTCGACGCGACTATATGTGTGTCTCCCATCTCCTAAGAATGTGTTTCGCTATTCATGTCACGCACACCCACCTCGCTGCGTACCCGCACTCATAATCAAACCAACTCATATTCAGAGACTCACACATCCTGCAGTTCACAGAGCCACTAGTTTGCTGACCCAATCATTCCAGGCTCACTCACACTCAGACTCACTTACCCAAGACTCACTAGTGCGGCCTAAGATTTAATCACATTGAAATCTGCTTACACTCTTACTCATTCACTCCGTCTGGCGTACGCTCGGATAGTATCACGTTTAGACTCCTTCGCTCGCCTCCATGCTCACCGCTCACAACTCAGATCCACTCGCTCACCATCACTGCGATGTAGACGGCATCACACTTGGGCCTCCCAAGTTGGAACTGCCAAGGGGTATCACACGGGCTCGTTCGCGACCAGATTGATGGGACCTTGCGGGTCGACTGGCCGTCTGTGGAGGTAGACGCGTCTCTTAGCAGAGAACCAGGGTCACCGCGATGTAGCAAGCATCGTAATTTGGCATCCCGATGGGGAGCCGCTACGGGATATAGCGCGGGCCTTTGGCGATTCAATTGGTGGAACCTCCCGCGTAAAATTGCCGTTTCGGAAGTAGACATGTCTCTTTGCAAAGACACGTGATCACCATGATGTAGCAGGCATGACCATCGCGCCCCCAAAAGGTCTCAAAGAGGATCCCAAGAGGCTCCTAGAGGCCCGAAGAGGCGTCCTAGAGGCCCCACAGATCCATCCCAAAAGACCCCACAAGACATCCAATCAACCCAGGAACGGTGGCGTGGTGGGCCGAAAGTCACTGCTGACCCTTGTTGCTTGCCAGGCGGGTTGCTGGCGTGCCAGAAAATTGTTGAACGCTTCTAAAAGTTTGCCAATGTGATGTCGGCTCAACCCACTGGCCCACGAAACAACTAGAAACTCCAAACGAACCGCATCTGAGTTTGCCGATATGGTCCAAGATGGCACAAGATGGCATCCAATATGCCCCTAGGATAACTCAAGATGACCCCCAAGAGCCTCCAAGAAGGCCCGATATAAACCTAAGACAGCCCAATATGGCCTCAAGGCGGACCTAGAGACCCATGATACGCTCACACTTACTCCAAGCGGACTTCTAGCAAACCATTCGCAAACCAAAAAACACGTCAATTTCGAGTTCTCGCCCAGGACCCCGAGACTCCCCAAACAGAGCCCCAAGACGGCCCCAAGGATCTCCAGTACGGCCCGAAAGCGCCCCACAAGGGACCAAAGGAGGCCACCTCCGCAGACCCACCCAGGAGGCACCAAGAGGCTCCCAGAGAGGCCCCCTGATGCCCCCAAGCGGCCCCCAGGAGGCCCTCAGGAGGCCCTCGAGAGGTCTTTTCACCCCCATCTTCCTCCCCCTTTCCTCTTCCTCCCCCTTGCTCTTCCTCACCCTTCCTCGTCATCCTCCTCCCTCCTCATCCCTCTTCGTCGCCCCCCCTTTTCCTCCTCCAAGCAGAAGGAGCGCAAGGAGCTGCTGGGGGAAGGCCGTGCAGCCTGGAAGTACTTCACACGAGGCAAGCTCCCCAAAAAGTTATTGTCCTCCCCCTTGGGCCCCATAACTGCTTCCCTGCAAGCGTCGTGGTGAAGAACCAAAATCCTCCTCCGCCTCCTCCTCCATTCCTTCTCCTTATATATAACTCCTCCCTGTCGCATCCCCAGGCCGGCTTTTAGGGCGGACCAGGCGTTTCGCCGAATTCTTTCACAAATGGAGGGCGGGTCGCTTTCCAAATGCGGCTCTTGCCTTCGTGCCGCGAGCATTCGTTTTAAGCATTTGCAAGAGCTTCACGGATTGAGGGCGGGTGGTTTTCAAAATGTGGCTCTCGTCTTAGCGCCGCGCACACTCGCTTAAAACATGTGCAAGAGTTCCACGGATTGAAAGCGGGTCGTTTCAAAAATGTGGCTCTCGCCTTAGCGCCGCGCACATTCGTTGTACACTTTACAAGACTTCCACGGATTGAGTGCGGTTCCTTTTCGACATGTGGTTCTCGCCTGAGCGCGGCGCACATTGGTTGTAAACATGTGCAAGAGCTTCACGGCATCCCATGATCAACGTACCAGAAATTGCGTGTTGGAACAATTCAGGATTATGCGGGCGCAACAATTATGTTGATTCGCTGCGTTCGAAGTCCCTGGGATCGCCTTCTGGCACGATTTGGGATCGTCAAGACGTAACAGTCAGGTTGATACGTGGCGTTGACATCCAGAGGACAATGTTTTGGTACGCTTCAAGCTCTTCCAACGGTTGTCTTCCAACGAGGCAGTTCCCTCAATGGAAATAAACCGTTGTAGAGGTCTATGAAGAGGGAGCTTGGAGGGAGGGTTAATTCCAACATCGTTGATGACTCTTGGGTTTACACTGGTCCTCCTCCTCCTCCTCCTTAACCTCCACCTCCTCCTCCTCTTCCTCTCTCCTCCCCTCATCCTCCTCCTCCTCCTCCTCCTCCTCCTCCTCCTTCTCCTCCTCCTCCTCCTCCTCCTCCACCTCCTCCTCCTCCTCCTCCCTCTCCTTCTCTCTCCTTCTCTCTCTCTCTCTCTCTCTCCCTCTCTCCCCGAAGTGTTGTTCCCCAAAGGATTTTTAGAACGGCTCGGGGAACACGTTGCCCAATGGCTTGGCAAGACTTCAACTCAACGTTTGCCCACATGGACGTTTCCAGAAGACAGGGAGCGGCGGTGGCTCGCCGTAGTCGTCCTCGAGAAGCCCCGGAGACGGTCACAGACACAAGACAGCCCCACGAACTTCCAAACGGCTCATAGACAGCCCCCAAACCAGCATCCAAAAACAGCCCAACAAGCCCCTAAAGCTCCCTGATTTCTCCAAGACGCCCCAGCAAATCCCCAAGAGACGCTCAAGTAGGCCTCGACCCCATCAAGCGCCTCCTGGATGCCCTCGCCTGCCGCGTGCCCCACATCGAAGCGCATCCTCCTCCTGCTCCGCAATCTTCGTCTTCCACGCCTGCGTCCCAATACCTTCTCAACACTGTCGATCGTCACGATTCCGCTTTCCACCGAATTGATTGTTTTTTGGCTGGCTGCATGGGGTGTCGTAAGAGTTCTGGGCCCAACAGATGGGGAACCACGTAAAGAATACTGCCCCGTCTTTTCGCCCTGCTGGTTTCCGCACCGACTCTGCTGGATCGAAAAAGCTCTTGAAACAAGTTTCGCAGCCCTGACGCGGCCAACAATTTCTTGTCACGCGCGCGTCGACGGTTCTCAGACGCCTTTCAACGTGGAGGGCAAAAGGATCACCGTGAAGGCCGCCAAGACCCAATACCAGAAGAAGAACTACGCGACTCGGACGGCCCAGTCCCTGATCAGAGAATCGGCAACGTCCTCCGGCAAACTCGTTGAGAGCACCACGTCGGGGTCGACAAGGGGGTGGCCTTCCAGCAGAGCCAAGGCGACCTCAAGGGCATCTTCCCGCCTCCCTACACTGGGCTCTCCATCCTGTAGGGGTGGCTTGGGCCCGCTCCTCTGATTACTGCTACCTACCAGTCCCCGCATCATGACGCTCACAAGCCCGCCCGCCACCTTGTGGCAAATGAACGGCCCCAACCATTGACTTGCCGGCGTCTCCGTCGCCGTGATCCCCGTTCTGTGCCTAGTCGTCGCACTCGGCACAAAGCTCGGCTGTCGAAATCGGGCCGTCGATGCTCGCCAAGCGACAGCTCGACGCTTAAGATGGGCTTCAACGCATGACTTGTCATTGAGCGTGTCTTAATATGTACACCATGCCGAATCATTTGACCGACTTTCCCTTGCCAATCTTCCACGCATCGTCGCCATAACCGAGACGTCGTTGGACCAGTCTGTTTTGCACGGTCGTTGCCAGGGTATGACACTGTGCCGCGGCAAGACCTGCGCGACGGCCATCCACGAGGAGGCACAGCATATTTTCTAAGGATTGCTTGTTTTGGTTAAAATGCCTGAGTCGTCCACATGGGTGATTCTGAAAGCTCCCAGCAGTCTCCAAATGTTGTCCTCGCGGAGCGTGGGCCTTTTCTACCTGCTCTCTGGAGTCGTCCCCGGAATGCGGCGAGGTTGATTATATGTGATCCGATGCGCTCGAGTGGCACTCGCATCGTGACCTCGCGGTGGGCACTCTCATCGTCGGAGGGGGACATGAGCGTGCATCACAAACCTTGGCTTTACTGCTCCGACGGCAGCACTCCATAACTCGGCGGCGAGTGAGGGGAGGAAGCGAGAAGGAGAAGGCCTTATCAGCAGGCGGCGGGACTTCTCAGAAGCCCCAGCCTTCTGAGAAGTTCTTTGCGCCTTGGGGGAAGGTTTCGAACACTTCTCAGAAGGCCCAGGGACTTCCGAGCCTTCTGAGAAAGCCTTCTCCTCCCCACTTCCCCCCACGGGCTCGCCGACGAGCAACGGAAGGAGTTGTTCAGGGTGTGCGCTCGCGCAAGTCTGCTCGAGAAAAGGCTGGCACACCCGCTCGAGGCAGCAATTCCCTCGATCTGGCAGCGTCGCACATCACCTCAGACGTCGCCTGCACGGTTGACCCGCCCATCTGCGAGCACAAATCTCGTCCACACAGAGATCGCGATGCGTGTTTCTCATTCTCTGCCGACCAAGCTGGGAGCAGAGGCTGTTCCAGAGAGCGGACTGGACTGGCTTTCGTTAGGTCCTGGTTTCCGTTGGGCCGTCGGACGGCAATCTCAAACCTCACCGAGCTGCTGATGAGCACTGCCAGTTTTCAAGCGACCATCCAGAAATCCACGCTCCCTTGGCATGACAAGTGCTTTGAACTCATGGCAGCGAAGTGAGCATGAGACCGGGCAAAGGAGAGTGCTCCGAGGGCCTCCTTCGAGAGCGTCGGGCGCACACCGCCTGTACCCTGCAGCGGATATTAGAGTTACGCTCTTCCTGCAGAAGGGAAGGTGGTCTTCGTGTGACTCCCTCATGCTTCGCGCTGCGAACTCTCAAATTTCCATTCCGCAATTGCTGTCGAATGCTGCGACGTGGGCTCCGGAACCAAAGCGAAGGCATGTCTTCTCGCGAATACTTTAGAAGTTCGGCTTGCCCGATGCTTGCTTGAATGCGTATTTCGAGATCGACGCTAAGGTGGACCACGCTATCTCGACCTTAAGCACAATACGGCGTCGAGACGCTTTGCAAGCTCTCCGGTGCCTCCGAGAGGATTCTGGCACTGGCCCGGATGCTGTTTCAGTGCGGTTGTTGAAGAATTAGGAACGTGAGCTCGCAATACCACTGTCCATGATTGCCCGCCTTGTTTTTCCACATGGTACTTGGCCATTGCCTTGGAAACTTCACTGGCTCATCCCTCTATTCGATTGTAAGGCGAGGCCAAATGCGGGAAATTACCCTAATACTCATTTGACGTCTCAGATCAGCAAAATGATCGAACGGATATTTGCAAACCGGCGTCTCTTGTCTTCCGAATCTACCCGTACATACGGTCGTAACCAGTTCCCCTACCACCGTGGTCGGGGGAATCGCGACGCCTTAGCTTGTACAATGTGCCACTGGGCATGTGCAGTCAGGACAGGCCGTCGGGTTGCAGTCTACTGCTCCGGAGTATCTGGTGCATTCGACAAGGTAAGGTCCTCTAGACTTCTCACGAAACTCCGCGCCGCTGGCATTTCAAAGGGATTCGCGAAAAACATCCCCGCCCGGCCGGAGCCTCGCACTGCAAGGGTCTGCGTCGGTGGCGTCTTATCCGAATCTACCCGCTGGAGAACATGGTATTCCAGAGTACTGTGATCGGCCGTCTGCTCTGGAACGTGTACTACGATGACGCGGGCTGCTCCATTACCATCGCTGGATTCCAAGTTCGCACTTTTGCGGACGACCTCACTTTTGGAGGATGCACAATGGCTTTCGCAACAATCTTGAAATCCTGAATGCATGTAAGTATTGTCAATATTATTTACATCCCTTGGGCGCCGCAAATCAACTCTTGACGAACGATCAGCTCACACCCATACCCATAGGGGGGTCGTTGGGAGGAGGACTGGCTAATTATGGGTATGGGTGCGGGTTGTCGGACCCTAGGGAACGCTCCCGTTCGAGCGGAGACCCCCATCCGACAACACGCACCCATAGCCCTTTCCGATCCCCCTATGCGTATGGGTGTGTGTTGTTGGTTGGTCAACTCTTGTTCGAAACAGCAGAAGCATGCATCCGCCCGCCGTGCCGTTGGGCACGGAGTGTGCGTGCCCCCAGGTCCTTCCCCCAACCCTTCAGGCCGCAACCCCCACTCCAGAGGAATCCACTCGGGGCTCGGAACCCACATTGCGAACTCTCTCTGGGCTTCCCGCGTGCCGCCTGGGCTCCCCCGCGTGGCGGCCCGTGAGTTTCTGGGGCCCCAGAGGGCCCCAAGACACAGGCCAAGAGAGCCCCAAAAGGCGCCCAGGACGCCTCGAGAGGGCCCCGAATCGCCGAACGATCGGTCCAAGACGCCTAAGAGGGCCGTAAGACAGCCCAAGAAGCCTACAAGAGGCTCAAAGAGGCCCACAAGAGGCCTCCCCAGAGGGCCCCAAAAGACACAAATCATGCATTTGCCTTGGTTTTTGAAAGATGTTGGTGTACTCGCCTTTCCGGTTCCGGCGCTCCACGACGGCCCACGAGGCCCCCAAGATCGCCCGAAGACGGCCCCAAGACGGCCCCCAAGAGGGCCCCAGGACGGCCCAAGATGGTCCCAAGACGGACCCTGAGAGGGGGCCCAGTTGGGGAACCCGAGCGGACATTTCGAGCCCTCGGCCCCGAGGGGCCCCCAGGAAGCCCCAAGAGGCTCCCAAGAGGCCCCCGAGGGGCCCCAAGAGACGTCCAAGAGGCTCCAAGAGACCCCCAATAGGCCCCCCAGGAGGCCCCCAAATTGCTCCCGAGAGGCCCCCGAGAGCGCTCCGAAGAGACCCGACAAGGCATCCCCGAGAACTCTGACCCACGACCCGGGCACGATGGCGGGATGGGCCGAAAGACGCTTGATCCGCCGCCCCCTGTGGTCTTGCCACAGGGGTGCACGGCGTGCTGGATGATTCAGTTTTGGTTTTGGTTCTTTTTCTAAAAGAACTCCCCAGTGGGCTTCGGCCCGTCCCGCCGGCCACCCGTAAATTTCCCAAAATGCGTCTGTCAATGCCTTTGTTGCCCCAACTTGGCCCAAGATGGCCTCCAAGACGGCCAAGATGGCCCAAGATGGCCTCCAAGATGCCTCCAAGACGGCGAAGATGGCCTCCAAGACGGGTAAGATGGCTCCAAGATGCCTCCAAGACGGCCCAAGATGCCCTCCAAGACGGCCAAGATGGCCCCAAGATGCCTCCAAGATGGCCCAAGAGGCCTCCAAGACGTTCTCCAGGAGAGCCCGAAGAGGCAAGACGGCCCAGAGAGGCCCCCAAGACGGCTCCAGACGGCGTCAGACGGACCAGGAACGCCCTAAGACGGCCAAAGAGACCCCCAGGAAGCCCCCAAAGGCCCCCAAGAGGCCCAAGGAGGCCCCCAAGATGCCTCCAAGAGGCCTCGAAGAGGCCCCCAAGAAGCCCCCAACAGACCCCAAGGGTGCCCCAAGAGACTCCTAACAACCCTCATCCTCCTACTCTATTTCTTCCTCTTCCTCTTCCTGTTCATAATCATTCTCTCCCATGTGTTCCCCGAAAGCTTTCCAAACCGACTCGGGGAACTCATGGTCCGATAGCTTGGCCAAGCTCTAGTCCAACTTTCGGCCACATCGGCGTTTCCAAAAAGGCAGGGGGCGGCGGTGATTCGCCGTAGGCGTCTTCGATAACGTAGACAAGGTTTGCCCGCACAGCGAGGACTTCAAGTATGAGAGGTCGCAGGTAATGCAAAACTGCCGATGCCTTACGCAGTTCGAAAGAATTTCGTGGATGCTTCCTGGAGGCTGAAGGGCGATGCTGCGCACCGACCGCCTCTATTCTGCACGCGAGATGGTTCGGTGGTAAAAATGCCACATCTGGTCCTACGTCGAAGGTGCAACTGGTGCTGCGTCTCACGCAACATATGATGTACTCAAGCAGCTAGCTCGATGACGTGCAGAACGACTTACTGCAACACGTTGAGTTGAAGGGGAGTGCATGTTATGCCTTAAAACTTGGCACCGGATGAGGATGAGGCGCGACGTGTCCATTTTAGGCCTGCTGTTGAAGGTCTGGATTGGGCAGGCTCCCCTTTTTTGGGCTGCACAGCCCAGCCCTGAAAGTCTCGCTCAAACCAGGCCACCATCCCTTGCTCCAGAGTTCGTGCTTCGGCATGGTCAGTATGCTCAATCATTTCCCGCAACAGCTCATCAACTGTCTCTCTGTCAAAACGTTTCATAGAGCGTTGCAGCTCCCAGCCAATGAAGCTGCAAAATCCTACGATCCAGCGTGGCAATTCTATTACGCCGCGCCCTACCGCGTTCGCTGATAGCACAAACCGGTTTTTTGGTAGAGAAAACCTACAGGAGGCCCGAAGAGGCGAACATGTGCTGCAGCATTTCAAGAAAGCAAGAACCATGTGCCACGTGTGTGTGTGTGTCGTGTTGTTTTACAACTGACTCTTCAGCTCCAGCTCCAGGTCGCCTCGAATAGGTTTCAGCGAGCCTTGAAAAGCTACGAAGACGGACTCAATGTCGCCCCAAGGCTGCCCGAGACACCAACAAGCTGGTTTAATCAAGCCTCTTCTGGGGAGCTCTGTGGAACCATCGCGCCAAAGACGTCGCCGACACCCCCGACGAGCCCCCAACAGAGCCCCCAAACAGGCCCCGAACATGCCCCCAAGAGGTCCCCGAGAGGGCCCAAGAGAGCCAAAGGAGCCCCCGAGAAGCGCATGGGATGCCTTCAAGAGGGAAAAAGAAGACGAATGAGGAAGGAAGATGAAAACGAGACTGCGCACAAGGAGGGGGTGTTTAAAGACCCGCACTATTGGCACATACGTAAGGCTCTGAACTGGACTGGAACTCAACCCCCAGAAATGCAAGACTTGATATTGTTCAACACGGCCCCCCCGCAGGTCCCGACCCTTTCCCTGGGCCGGTGTTTCGCCGCGAGTTGCTGCTTGAAGGTCCCGGGGCTTGGTCAGGACCCCCAAGGGCCGAAAACTGGCACGAAACCCCGCAATTTGTTTGTTCACGACGCGAGACCGTCTGGGACCTCCTCCTCCTCCTCCTCCTCCTCATCATCATCATCCATTTGTTCCTCCTCCTCCTCCTCCTCCTCCTCCTCCTCCTCCTCCTCCTCCTCCTCCTCCTCCCTGCTGCGCTGGCGCGGTGGCAGGACCTGCCGCGGGCGGCGGGGACTCTTGGAAGCTCCCGTGGGTGCTGTGCGGCCCCCCCCTCAGGACCCCCCCAGAGGCACACCCGGAAGCGGGGGCGGGGCGACGTGGAGCACCCCGACCCCCGGACATCCGACGCCGCGATCTCTTCCAGCACGGGGCCCCCACAAGTCCCGATGCCTCCCCAGAGCCGGCGTGTCGGCCCGAGGTCGCTCTGTCTCCGACGGCCCCGGGGCCTGGCGAGGGCCCCCCGGAGGCCGAACGCAGCCACAACCCCCCCGTCGTGGCTCTTCTCGCGACGCGAGGGCGGGTCTGGGCCCCCCTTGAGCCCTGCCAGGCCCGCCCTCGGCGACCAGCCAGGCCACGCCGACGCGCGCCTGCCTCTGCCGCGGCCCGAGGCCGCGGCCGACGACGAACCGACCGACCCCGGCCCGAGATGGCGCCGCCGCCGCCGGCTGCGGGGCCCAGCTGGGGCAGCCCCGCAGGAACAACGGCTGTCTGCGCCGCCTCGGGGCGAAGAAGAGGACGCGGGCGCCGGCGGCAGCGGCGGCGACGGCGACGGCAGCGGCAGCGGCGGCAGCGGCGGCGGCGGCGGCGAAGTAGCCGACGGCGGCAGAGACACTGCCATAGTGGCGGCGGCAGAAAGAAGGGGTGGGGGGGAAGGAGGAAGGGAAGAGTGAAGGGAGTCACGATGGGGAGGAGGCAGAGGAGGAGGAGGAGCACCAGAAGGTTGGGAGGAGGAGGGGAGGGGAGGGGAGGTGAGGGGAGAGAGAGAGAGAGAGAGAGAGAGAAAGAGGAAGAGAGGATGGGAGTGGGTAAGGGGACGCAACAAAGATCAAGTCGATCGGGGACTGATCCTAACAGGGCCGCGTCGACCTCACCCGAACTCTCATGTCCCTGCGGGATGATGTGTCCGGTCGGGGCCGGTCAAACTTGAACGCTTCGCCAGCCTGAAGCATCATCCTCAGCCCCTGGTCGAGGAGGGACCCGTTCAGCAAGGACCCTTATCGCAGCTGGAAGCAGGACCATGGAGGCAAGGAGGGGGCTGCTGCTGGCTTGCTTAGCGAAGCTGCTGGCCCCAGAGGAGAGGCGGCACGACTCGGAGAGGCAGGCGGAACAGCATCAAGTGCTGCGGCAGGGAGTGGCACCACGCACATTCGTCTGTAGCTGTTACCAGGATGGAGGGCGCCTCGTTTCCGAAACTGATCTTTCGCCTCAGCGCAGCGCGCACTCATGCAAACGAAGACTACAACAGTCGTAGGGATGCAGGGCGGCTCCTTTTCAAAAGGGGGCCCTGCCCCAGCACCTCGCGCGCTCGTCCTAGAATACTGCACCTATGTGAGGATGGACGACGGCGCCTCTTCAAACTGGGGTCTTCGCCTGAAGTCTCCTCGAGATGAACTACAGTTATAGGTCGGGCCTGTCCGCCTAATGTTCAAACATGATGTATGAAAAATACACACAAAAAAAGCCCCCATACGATTTTTCTCGACTAGTTCTGAATTTGCCCCCCTGTAGAGGGACAGGCCCGACGTAAACCTGCAGCACTGGTGCACGTGCGCAAGCTGCACGGACGAAGGGGCCAGCGGCCGAGCCCTGAGGAGGGGGAGGAGGAGGAGGAGGGGGAGGAGGAGGAGGAGGAGGAGGAGGAGGCAGAGACAGAGGAGGAGGAGGAGGAGGAGGAGGAGGCAGGAGGAGGAGAAGGAGGATGAGGAGGAGGAGTAGCGGCATGACGTCCCCCGACCCCCCCGTGGCGAACTCCCAGAGCAAAGCCTACGTTCTTTTATACCCGCCCGCCCTGCGGCCGGCGCGCCTCGCGGGGAAACATCCCATCCTCGGTATCGTTCGGACGTCCATTTCCCGTGCATGCTTCGGCTTCGTGCGTGTTTTTTTTGCTCCATGGTCCAGGATGGTCCTCGATGGTCCCCCGCCGAGAAAAAAATATGCACACGTCCGAGCGATGCCAGGCATCATGCCTTTCAAGACCCACCCTCGCCTCCGCTCCTACTTCCGCACCCGCCCACTTGCCGACCGCCCTCCCGCCAGTGTGGCATCCGCAGTGTCGTCGGTGGGTCGTCGACGTCGTCGCGATCTTCGTCGTCGTCGTCGTCGTCGTCTTCTTTTGTCGTCGTCGCCAGGCCTTGCGCGCCCACCCCGTGGGGGCGTCCGCAGTGCGTCGTCGTCGTCGTTCGTCGGCGTTCGTCGTCGTTCGTCGTCGTCGCCGCAGGGCCTGTCGTTGCACCCCCCTCCATGGGGTCGTCTTCTTTCTCTGCGCAGTGCGTCGTCGTCTTTCTCGTCGTCGCCACCGCCGTCGTCGTCGTTGTTCGTCGAGGTTTCGGGGTGCCCCTTGGGGAGAGGTTCAGAATCTCAGTTCGACACTTCCCCCTCTCGGGCTCCATTCGGGCGATCTTGGGGGCCCGTTGGGCCGTCTTGGACGTTGTGAAGGCTCCGAGAATCCCGAATCTACGATTGGTGTTCCTCTCTCTCGGTGTCACGGGTGACACTTGTCGCCCGCATGAATGGCCCGTTGTTGGCTCCCAGAATCCCCAATACACACTTTTCCCAAATGGTTCTCGGGGTGGCACGTGTCACCCGCTGCTTCACTCAGGTCAAATGACCCCATGCTGGCCCCAAGAAGCCACAATTATTCTATTGGTTTTTCTAATACGGTTTCGGGCTCGACACTTGTCACCCGCTAAGCTTTCCCCAAGCTGAATGACCCTTTCGCTGGCTCCCAGAATCCCAAATGAATTATGGGTCTTTCTCAAACGGCTTCGGGGGTGACACGCGTCACCAGTTGCATCTCCAAGACCACTTGACCCCACGTTGGCTCCAAGAACCCCCAATTTACAATGGTTTGTGATCACACGGCTTCGGGGATGACGCGTGTCACCCACTGCCTTTTTCAATTTTTCCAACGCTGTGTCGGGGGCGACACGTGTCACCCGCTGCTTTTTTTTCGGAGGCCCAACTAACCATGCTGGCCCCAGAACCCCAAATGTACAAATGTTTCTTCTCACACGGTTTCGGGGGTGATGTCACCCGCTACTTTTCTCAGGCTTGACCAGGGGGGTGACACGTGTCACCCGCTGCTTCTTTCCAGGCTGAATGACAGTTCTGTTGGATCCCAGACTCCCAGATCTACATTTGGGGTGTTCTCACTCGTTTTCGGGGGTGGCACGTGGTGCTCGCTGCTGCTCTGAGGCTGAATGGCCCCATTCTATCACCTGGCGGTGGAGTATACCCATCCTTAACGAGTTTGCAACCACATTTCTCAAGGCATTCACGCGCTGCTTGTGGCAAGTCCCACACTCAAACAGATGCATCGGGGAACCTGTGCTGATGTACGAAGCATCTTCGCCAATCCAATGCTGCATCCCCGCAACATTGGATTAGCGAAGATGCTTCGGGGACGCCGCCAAATTCGGGAAAGCCGTTCCCCGAAACTCGCTCACCTTTCAACCATTCGATTCCCCTTGGTGGACCCACCACCGGCCGACGTGGCGTGGGGAAGGGTAGACTTGGATTATATACAAATTACATCAAAGAAAAACCCCAATCAATGTATGGTTTTTGCTTAGGAGATCGACCAGGAACCCGGGAGCCCGGGAATCCAAATCCCACCGAAGTCGGCCCGGAACCAATAACTGGGAACCCGGGAACCCGGAACTGGGAACCTGGGAACCCAGCCTGCTACCAAAATCGGCGGGAAACTTTCGCCAGATCTTCCAACTTCCGCCAGGACCCGTTCAGTGCAAGCACTGATTGGGGAACTACCCTTGCTGGGCAGCGGAGCCGAGGAAGGGTCTCAACACGTCTCGCAACGGGGTTGCACTCAATTTCCGACGCATGATTCAGCCTAGATCTGCCAGGAATGAGGGTGGCACACCATCTCCACCCCTTCTGTGGCTTCAAGACAGACCTCCCGCCTAAGAGTTCCGCAACGACCCCGACGGTAGAGCCCCACATGCTGATCCATGTTGCGCGCCTGGGACTCCCCTCTCCGCCCATGCCTCTCCTCCTCCTCCTCCTCCTCCTCCTCCTCCTCCTCCTCCTCCTCTTCCTCCTCCTCCTCCTCCCTCCCTCCCTCCCTCCCTCCATTCTCCTCCATTATCCTTCTCCTCCTCACCATCTCCCTTCTCCCGCTTCCTCACCACCCTGCCTCGTCCTCTCCTGTTTGCTCCTGTTTCCTCCTCCTCCTCCTCCTCCTGTCTCCTCCTCCTCCTCCTCCTCCTCCTCCTCCTCCTCCTCCTCCAAGTGCCTCTCCAGCTCCTCCCCCTCCCCCTCCTCCTCCTCCTTCTCCTCCTCCTCTTCCTCCTCCTCCTCCTCCTTCTCATCCTCCTGCTCCTCCTCTTCCTCCTCCTCTTGGTTCCTTGCTGATCCTGCCCCCACTTCGCAATCCTGCCTGATCTACAACGTCCACCTGCTTTCTCATGCCTTTTTGCTCCTCCTCCTCCTCAAGCCTCCTCCTCCTCCTCCTCCAATCCCACCAGCCCTTTGGGCGTGAGTGGTTTAGCGAGCTCTCTCTGTCCTCAACCCCCCATCTTCCCCTTCGGGGAGGGGTTTACCCCTCCCCCTACCCCCTCCCCCTGGACCTGGAGAGGGAGTTCCGAGTGGTGTCAAGGGGGTCTTATTCGACGCCTGGGAGGGCCAAAAAACGACGACCCTCACGAGGATTCTGGCCCCGAGGGGGGGGGGGGAGTTTGGTGCCTCAGCTCGTCTTTGAAGCAAAAATCATTGATTTTACTAGGGTTTCGGCCCCATTTTGGGCTTCTGAGGGGGCAGCGCTCATCGTCCTTCATAGCAAAATCATTGATTTTACGAAGGTTTTGGGCTCATTTTGTCCTCCTCAGGGGGCAGCGCTCATTTGCGCTTCTGAGGAGGTCGCAAGAGGCCCCAAGATGGCCCCAAGAGGCCCCCAGGAGGCTCCCAAGAGGCCTCCAAGAGGCCCCCAAGAGGCCCCCAAGAGGCCCCAAGAGGCCCCCAAGAGGCCCCCAAGAGGAGGCCCCAAGAGGCCCCCAAGAGGCCCCCAAGAGGCCCCCAAGAGGCCCCCAAGAGGCCCCAAGAGGCTCCAAGAGGCCCCCAAGAGGCCCCACGAGGAGCCCGAACGACTCACACCAGGACGAGGGGCCCGAACGACTCACACCACGAAGAGCCCGAACGACTCACACCACAAGGAGGGGCCCGAACGACTCACACCAGGACGAGGCGCCCGAACGACTCACACCACGAGGAGCCCGAACGACTCACACCACGACGCGGGCCCCGAACGACTCACACCACGAGGAGCCCGAACGAGTCACACCAGGAGGAGGGGCCCGAACGACTCACACCAGGATGAGGGGCCCGAACAACTCACACCACGAGAAGCCCGAACGACTCACACCAGGACGAAGAGCCCGAACGACTCACACCACGAAGAGCCCGAACGACTCACACCAGGAAGAAGGGCCCGAACGACTCACACCAGGACGAGAAACCCCAAACGACTCAAACCACGAGGAGCG